ATTAAAGTAGCATTAGTAAAAAGCATTTGTGTATGTGTATTCCAATTGAAGGTGAAAGTTTTATTGAATACTTTTTATTTGTGTAGTAATTATTTCAAATTTTTTTTTTGTTTAGGGTAATTGTGTGTGAAAATAGAGTATGTTTTCGAATGTGATCATAAATTATTATTATTATTATTATTATTATTAAGAAGTCATTGAGATTTATCTGTGGGGAGAGACACAAGTGAGAGTCCGTCAGAGAAGAGCGATGTATGTTAGAGAGATGTCAGAAGACGAGCAGTTGAAACTTCGTTTTGAGTGTCTAGCGTCGATTGAGAGCTTGTCGAGTAATTTCTCTTTAACTGGAGAGAATTGCGGCGTAGTCTATGCATCTTTCAAGTCAGGTGAATCATACGAACAACACCACACAGACGGAACGAATGAAATAAACAAACTGTTTTTCTACAGCTGACGGAGAATACCCAAATGCATTGCAAATTGATTAGCCAACACGCGCATTTCACGACTGTCCATCAGGGATTCGGATTAAACTTCGATGTCTTCAAAATGTTGTGAACGCACAGGGATCAAGTCGGCCTTGATCCGCGGAATCAGTGATACAAATCGGATCAACCTACGAATTTGATCCTGGATGGTTGGAAACCGGTCGCCTAGAGCGTGAAATTGTTATGAGACAAGCTAGAGATGTGTGATTATTTTATTAACGGACTGGACCCTTTCCCTTCTATAGTCTATACCTCGTCCAAACCGCATTTGCAGGGGTCGAAAAGGGCAGTCGTCGAGTGTAGGAAGAATGAGTGTGAGTGCTCAAAATTGACCGTACCTAATTTCATTGTTTCCTTGTTCAATACTCGGAAGACTAGATGGTTTTATCGGGGGCTTCACAAAGGGTAGGGAGTGTGCTATAGACTAACGCAGTGATCAATGATCCTTTTCCACTATCAGCTAATAAAATCAGTCATCTCATACCTCTACTCACCAGTTATGAATTAAGTTAGTTGAACTACCAGTGATTGCATGTTTAACATGCTGTGTAATGGTAAGGCTATCACTAGCTTCGTGCGAATAGGGCAGAAGCGTTGCAATCACGGGCTAGCTCTTACCATAGCTACGAGTTCAAGCACTGCTTGAAATTTGTCACTTCATGGAAATGGAACTTGTGTTCGCAGCCGGTTCATTACCGAGTTTCCCGTTTTGCACTTCATCTCATTTCACTTTTTCAGTCATTTCTCACCCACACCACTCACAATAAAGTCATCTCCAGGTGTATCTCACACGTGTGTCAACAGAGGACACACGAGTGGCGAGGCCAATGGCCTCGATGTGAAGAACTTGCTGCTGAATGGCCATACGTTATAGTGTCTAAAAATGCTTGTTTATGTCTACTCTATATATCTTGGTA